GAAACCTAACTTGTTATATAAACCCACGAAAACCTAACTTAGGAATATAACCCACAGTCAAATGTTAACAAATCAGGAGCTTCTAGGTTTCAGTCCATCACAGCAGTCAACTCATAGCACCACACCTAATAAGGCAGCTGCCCGGCCACAGCTGACCCAGTGGCTTCTCTACTTGGCTTCTGTGTTTGGGCTGTAAAGGTCATCTTGGGTCACCTTGTTGAGAGCTACAGGTGGTTTCTTGTTCTTCTGAGCTTTGACCCATTCATTTTACATTTTATTATTTAAAGTCTATATTTATTTATTTGAAAGAGTTACACAGAGACAGAGGGAGAGACAAAGAGGGAAAGATTGTCCATCCGTTCTCCAAGTGGCCGTGATGGCCAGGGCTGACAGGCTGAGGCCAGGAGCCAGGAGCTTCCTCCGGGTCTCCCATGTGGATGCAGGAGCTCAAGCACTCGGGGGCCATTTTCAGCTACTCTTTCCAGGCCATTAGCAGGGATCTGGACAGAAGTGGAGTATCTGGGATTGGAACCCATCCCATATGGAATGCAGCTGTCATATCTACTGGCTTTATCTGGTAGGCCACAGCACCGGCCCCTACTTTTTCATTTTGTATTCAAATAAACTCTTCTAAAACAGCTTTATCTAAATTTTGCTTTTAATAATTTTCCATACATTTCCAATTTCCTTTTAAGTTAATATGTTGTTCATATGTAGAGATGCAAATAATTTTTCTAAGTCAATTTTGTATCTTGTAAGTTCACATAATTTATTTATCAGTTCTAAAAGTTTTTGTTGTTGTTGTTTAAGTGAAGTCTTGGGGCCAGCATTGTAGCCAGAAAGCTTAATTGTTGCCTGCAATGCCACCAGCATCCCATATGAGCACCAGTTCGAGTCCCAGCTGCTCCACTTCCAATCCAGCTCCCTGCTAGTGCACCTGGGAAAGCAGCAGGAGATGGCTGAAGTGCTTGGGCCCCTGCACCCACATGGGAGACCCAGATAAAGCTCCTGGCTTCTGGCTTTAGCCTGGCCCAGCCCCGGATGTTGTAGCCATTTGGTTCACGAACCAACTGATAGAAGATCTCTCTCTTCCTCTCTGTCCCTCCCTCTCTCTCTCTCTGTCACTCGACTCTTATAATAATTATATTTTTTAAAAACCCCAAGCCTTTACAGTTTTTTTAAAATTTAAAATCATGTTGATCTTTTCTGTTTTATTGCTGCTCTCTTTCTTATCTCTGTTCTACTAATTTTGGGCTCAGTTCATTCTTCTTTTTCTGACATTTTTGGGTGTAAAGTTAGGTTGTTTACTTGAGATCTTTCTAAATGTGGGCATTATTTCTATAAATGTCCTTCTCACTACTGCTTTTCCTCTCTCCCAGAAGCTTCCATATGTTTTGTTTCTTGAGATATTTTCTGAGTTTAGAATTCTAAAAGAGTAAATGCTCTCCCACTTTAACTCCATAATTATTTCCAATATGTGAAACCATACCTAATTCATGTCTCCTTTGTGGAGCTGGTTCACAGATAGGTTTCTGATGCTGGAAGATGGAAAAGGGCTGAACTGCACCGTGGTCTGCTCTCCATGCTCAGAAATGTCTGTGTTTTTCTCTTTGACATTCGATTATAACCTTTCTTTATCTTCTAGGAATAAGGATGACATAAAACATCTTCTGTTCCAGGTGGGAAGTGTCTGCCATGCCACTCACTGACTGTGACAAATATTTACTGAGCAACAGCAGGGGAAGCTCTGTTCCGCACACTGAGGAGCGATCTGTAAACAAAGTCTTCAGTGTCTGCACTGTGGACCTTGATTCTAATGGGGGAGATAGACAGCAAACAAGAAAATCTACGGAAATACACAAGAAAACAGATGAGTAATACGGAGGAAGATAAACCGGGGAGGGAGTGGTAAATAGTGAGGATTTATATTTTACACAGGACAGCCTGAGAAGGCCTCACTGGAAATCTAAGATTTAAATTAAATGTCAAGGGGGATGTAGATAAGCCACGGCATAACTGGAGAAAAGTATTTTAAAAGATGTATTTGTTCTGTACATGTTTAATGAATGCCTACTATACTGAGAAATGCCATGGTCAGCTACTCAGATAGATGCTGTTCTCCTTTGAGCTTGAAAGTTGGATTTAAAAAAAAAAAAAGATTATTTATTTATTTGAAAGGTAGAGTTAGAGAGAGGCAGAGAGAGAGAGAGAGAAAGAGAGAGAGAGAGAGAGAGAGAGAATTTGCCATCCATTGGTTCACTCTTCAAATGGCCTCAACAGTTGGAGTTGGGCTGATCTGAGTCCAAGAGCCAGGAACTTCATCCAGGTCTCCCAAGTGGGAGCAGGGGCCCAAGAACTTGGGCCATCTTCCGCTGCTTTTCCAGGGACGTTAGCAGGGAGCTGGATCAGAAGTAGAACAGCTAGGACTACAACCAACACCCATATGAGATGCCAGCACTGCAGGCAGCAGCTTTACCTGCTATGCCACAGTGGCAGCCCCCAAAATTAGATTTTTAACACCTTACAAAATAAGTCTGTTCTCTCAGATTCTGGGGTTGATTTGGAAAACGTGGAATTAATCATCCTGCTTAGCTCTAGAGTTACCTAAGAAGTGTTTTTAAAGAGAAACCAAAAATTAGGATTAAATGAATAAGGTTTTAACTGGTTTAACTAGAGAATATGCTGTACAATCAAAACACAAATGTCTTTGGAGAGGTAGAGGAGAGGCAGCAGGAACAGATACTGAGCTTGGAGCCAGTGGCCTTAGTTACACACCGCCCTCTCTTCTAACCAGCTTCCCACATCAGAGTATATGGGTTTGGTTCCTGGCTCCAGCTCTTGACTCCAGCTTCCTGCTTATGCAGACCCTGGGAGGCAGCAGCGATGCCACCCACATGGGAGACCAGATGGTTGGTGTTCCAAGCTCCTAGCTCTAGCTCCCAGAGTTGGGACACTGTGGCATTTAAAGAGTGAGAAAACAGCAAATGAGGTTTTTTCTCTCTCTCTCTCTTTCTCTCTCTCTCTCTTGTCTGTCCCCAGATAAACAAATAAATACAAATCCTTTAATCCTGCATCCTTATTAGGAAAATCTACTCTTGTTGGTGCCGTATTACGAATTCAATCATGGACAACCAAACCGCATGTTCCATCCCCCAGCACTATGATCACACTTTTCTTGTTGCCTTCAAAGTCAGTGTGGGTGCTCGCAAGACCTTTGGAAGAGACTTGGCCCCTTCCATGTCCTGACTTTGGGGTTCATGCTCCCTGTGATGGGGAAGAGCTGAGCTGGCAATGACTGAGGACAGGGCAGGAAGCCCTCGGTTCCCGTGTAGTGCAGTGAAAGTTGGAAATCAGGATGCCTAAACTAAGTCTTTTTAACTCTTTTCCCATTTTCAAGAAGCGTTTAAAAGTTTGTTCTTTTACTTTTGATTTTATGAAATAACCATCTTTTCTTTTGCAAAGCTATTTTCTGAGTACTTAGTGGATGGCAAATAAAACATACTCTCATTATTTCTATTTACTAAGAGGAAAACACTTATTATTTTCCCTAAAGACCAAGCTTCTAATTTTGTGTAGTTGTTTGGGAAAAAGTTTACTCCAGGTAGGGAATACAGAGTCAACAAAAAAGACACTGCTCCAATTATCAGAAGTGATTCATACAGTGCGACCACTTTACTGATATTAAACCCTTCTTTACTGGGGCCGGCGCTGTGGTGTAGAAGGTGAAGCTTGCAGTGCCAGCATCCCATATGTGCGGCCATTTGAGTCCTGGCTGCTCCACTTCTGATCCAACTTCTTGCTAATGGCCTGGGAAAGCAGCGGAGGATGGCCCAAGTCCTTCCACCCCTGCACCTGCATGAGAGACCTAAAGCTCCTGGCCCCTAGCTTCAGATCGGCCCAGCCATTTGGGAAGTGAACCAGTGGATGGAAGACCTCGCTGCCTGTCTCTCCCTCTCTCTTTCTAACTCTTCCTCTCAAATAAATTAATAAATCTCAAAAAAATAATCCTTCTTTACTGCTCTATTCTGTTTGATCTCTGAGGTCACGCTTACCCTAGACCAGTCCTGCTGAATCTCCTTGATCTTTAAATACTGGAGAATCCTCATTGCTCACATATTTTCTCTTTTGTTCTTTCTCAGATTCCCTGAGCACCCATTATTTTCCAACACGTTTAAATACCTTCTGTACATTGAGAATGCTGAGTCATGGTCCCTCCTGTGAACCCTAGACTCACAGACCCAGTCAACGCTTCTCTGTGACTATCTAACATGCATCCCCAGCTCAGATTCAACACTGAATTCTTGCTGCACCTCCAGGACTTGCTCCTGCCACTGTCTTCCCACCCTCCATTTGAAATGAAAACTCCATTCTTCCAGGTGCTCAGGCAGGGAAGAAACTGGAATCACGCCTGACTCCATTTCTTACCTGTGCAACCTGCAACCGGCTTTAGGCTGTCAGCGGTTCCCAGCAGCTCAGAAGTCAGGTTATGCCCAGATACCCCTTGGGCTTCTCTTGACTTCTATCAGCAGCCAGCCTCACCTCCCCCAGGGGATTACTGCAATAAGGCTGGGCTTGTTCCTTAATCCTGATCTTCTGACTTCTAACCCAGAGCTCATTCTAAGAAGTTAAAAAAAAAAATGAGATTACCTTACATAATAAGGCTGCCCTGCCGGGAGCTCCTCTGGGAGTGGTTAGGATGCAGAGGGAGCCTAAAACACTCTGAACACGCAATACATACCCTATCTTTCAGCAAAGCCTTCTAACAGCTTCAGAAGCAGTTGCAACACAACATGATAAGGCACATAAACTGCTTTTTTTTTTCCCCCAGAGAAAGAAGATCAGTGTCTTTAATCCCCTTGTGCTGTACACAGTGTCAGAAATCCGATCTTAGGGCTACTGGGAACATCGTGTTCCCTAGAATCTATTTGCAGCAAACTCTTTTGGGGAGGAAAACAGGGACTACAGGAGGAGTGGAGGAGATCCTCGGCTCTGCCACTTACCTGCAAGGAAGAGAAGAATCCAGGCAGCTGAAGCATTTGGAGAATTCAGCTGCCAGGGATTATGGGCATTAAACACCCCCTGGAAAAGCACAGAAGATGTAATATTAAAGATGTTTGCAGCAGCTGTGAAAATGCCCAACTAGTAGAAGACAAATGAAGAAATGGGGGTCTGCATTTTTACTTTACTCCCTAATTGCCAATAATTCTTTTGTGGATATTAAAAGTTATCTCCTCTGAATATTCAGAGCCATAAATCCTATAGCTTAGGAATTAAAAAAAAATTTATAGCCATGGCTATATTCTTGTGACCACAGTTTCCTCATGTGGAATTTAAAATTTTTTATTGGGATTACCATTCACCCAGTATCCCCAAGTCATCAGTATACTGGACTGCAGGAGTGTCTGGGAAAACATCAAATCCTCCTGGGCTTCCAGAGAACGAATGGACTAGAGAAGAAAGTAGGGTTCTAAAAAAATAGAGGCTGTGATGGAGTTTGGGGCAGTGGACAGGGCTGGAAGGAAAGAGGCACTCATTCGTTTGAACAAACTTGAATTGCTTACTTGAAATACTGCTCATCTATTAGTAACTTCACCTATTAGATCTTTGTTTTCCATTAAACAGGCCACACAGTCCTTTAAAATGGCAATGGACAGAAAAGCCTACATTCTGCCTCTGATTGTTTTTTGCAATTCTAGTTTAGGACTTGGACCCCCTTGAAGACATTAAAAGCTTATTGGGGGCCGGTGCCGCGGCTCACTAGGCTAATCCTCTGCCTGTGGCGCCAGCACTCAGGGTTCTAGTCCCGGTCAGGGCGCCAGATTCTGTCCCGGTTGCCCCTCTTCCTGTCCAGCTCTCTGCTGTGGCCAGGGAGTGCAGTGGAGGATGGCCCAAGTGCTTGGGCCCTGCACCTGCATGGGAGACCAGGAGGAAGCACCTGGCTCCTGGCTTCGGATCGGCGCAGTGCCAGCCATGGTGACCATTTGGGGAGTGAACAAGCAGAAGGAAGACCTTTCTCTCTCTCTCTCTCTCTCTCTCTCTCTCTCTCTCTCTCACTGTGTAACTCCGTCAGTAAAAAAAAAAAAAAAAAAAAGCTTATTGGGGAATCAGGAGAGAGGAGGGAATGAAATTGGCACTTGTGGAATTTCTACCATATGTCATCCTCTGTGCTTTACTGTTTATAATCATAACCAGGTTTAATCCTGGTAGAACTATGGATGGCGAATGTATCTTTCATTTCATAACCGAGGAAAGTGAGGCTCTTAGAATTCAATCTTACATCTTCTGTATATTAAGATAATCGAAAATGAATCTTGATGTGAATGGAAGGGGAGAGGGAGTGGGAAAGGGGAGGGTTGTGGGTGGGAGGGACGGTATGGGGGGGAAAGCCATTGTAACCCATGAGTCGTACTTTGGAAATTTATATTCATTAAATAAAAGATAAAAAAAAAAGAAAAAAATAAAAAAAAAAGAATTCAATCTTACAGCCGGCAGCTGGCAGGTGCAAGATCACCCCTAACACAGCCCAGCTCAGGGCAAAGGAGATGCAGAGATGTCCGGGGAAGCAGGGCAATTACAAGCCTCTATTTTTCACTTCATTTTCAGGGGAGGTCTGCAGGATTTTTCTTTTAATGGTTTGCAGAGACAAGTTTACAAGACTAAGAAGTCTAAGGCTGGTGAGGATAAAGACTATTTTCTCTATTATTTTTACTTATACACTGCTTTTTCATGTTCATGTATATATGCACGTATTAATATTTATAGTCAAATAACAATAGTTTCCTTTTTCATATTTCATTTACCTTTTCTTTTTTACTGTAAATTTGGAATAGAGCGTGTGTGTGTTTCACACCGCAATATAGTTATTGTGTTGAGATTTCAGTAGAATAATCAAACATTGAAGTCCATCAAACTCAAAAGACACTAAATTATTTTGAGCTTTTCCTCTCTTTTCCCCCCTTAAGGTCTTCAGTCGTGGAGGTGGTGGATGGTGTAGTTTGATCCTCTGCAATGCAGTTTTTGATTTGTCATTTCACTTACAGACATCAGCCGTTCCAGACGAGCTGCCCGTTCAGTTAGAAGTTACCATGGACACAGCTACAGAGCGGCGGCTCATAGGCGTTACTCACAGGTTACTCTGCCCGTTACCCTGTTCATCCGCTGCATGGTACAGGAGCCGGGGTGCGGCAGTCTCGGGCCAGCAGTTCTGTTTTACAGCTCAGAAGCTGCAATACTGCCCCCTAATGGCACACTGAGGTATGTCCCAGGGTGTGTCAAGATTTTCGGTAATATTGAGAAGGAAATGCTGAAAACAAAACTAGAAAAATCCTTCCTTTGAAGTCTGTCTGGTTATTCCTTATGAAAAAAGACTATGATGTCCCCGGGTGTGTCAAGATTTTTGGTAGTAGTGAGAAGGAAATGCTGAAAAAAGACTATGAAAGACTCCCTCCAAATTGTTAGCATATGATTTGTATTTGTCTTTAGTCTGCTCTATGTTTTCCAATGATCATTTGGGACTATTTCTGGCCAATGTAGAGAATAACCATTATTGAAAACAAAACAAAACAAAATCAGCTTATTAGAACTTCAATGCTCAAAATCTCGGCTAGATACCATGTTTTCTGAATGCAAGCATTGATTATTTGCCATGCGTTTCTATTCAGTTGAATATGGATGTGTTAAGAACATGAACTTGAAGCTGTTTTAAATAGCATCCCCTATTTGGAACATTTCTCCATGTGAGTGATAGGCAATTAAGCGTACTTTGCTAAGCTTGCACGTGAAGTGGAAACCAGCTGATTCTTTGAAGGCCCAGAAGAAGGAATAATGAGCTATTTAATCTTTCTGCTGCATGCTGTGGTTTTCAGAGCAGGGAAGACAGTTGATGAAAAATCTGTAGAACAGAAATGTTCTACATTAATGCAACCACACTAATAGGATGTAGATGCTAATCTTTAAGAAAAAGGAAAGAGATTGCCTAACAAATGATATGCCTCAAATTTTTTATTATACAAATAGTATTCAGAGAGTATTCAAATAGGTTTTTCTGATGTGGTATGCTGTCCATTTTACATGATTGCTTCCCTCAATATAATATTATAGTAGCTTGTTTACTTCAAGTTCTCCTCCATGGGTAGCAAGGACTAAGTACTTGAGCCATCATCAGGCACCTTCCCAAGTTCATTAGCAGGAAACTGGAGCAGAAGCAGAGCACCTGGCACTCAAAGCAGAACTCTGATATGGGACGCCAGGGTTTCAACAGTTTAAACTGGTGCATCACCATGTTGACCCCCAAATTATATTTTTGCTGCAGTGTATATATAAGCTTTTTTCCTGCAATATATATAACTTGCAAATTTACATACTAATATAGCAAATAAATAGATATATGCCTTTGAAGTGTTTGAAATATAGTACATAGTAGAGACTACGGAGTTCTGAACAGACCAATGTTAATTTTTTTTTTTTGACAGGCAGAGTGGACAGTGAGAGAGAGAAACAGAGAGAAAGGTCTTCCTTTTCCATTAGTTCTCCCCCCAATGGCTGCTGTGGCCGGTGCACCACGCTGATCTGAAGGCAGGAGCCAGGTACTTCTCCTGGTCTCCCAAGCGGGGTGCAGGGCCCAAGCACTTGGGCCATCCTCCACTGCACTCCCGGGCCACAGCAGAGAGCTGGCCTGGAAGAGGGGCAACCAGGACAGAATCTGGCACCTCGACCACCGGGACTAGAACCCCCGGGTGCCTGCACCGCAGGTGGAGGATTAGCCTATTGAGCCGCAGCTCAGGCCACCAATGTTAATTTAAATGTAAAGGTGTGAGTTGATCTAAGAGCTATACAAGTGATTAGCAAGATTAACAAAATGAAATAATCAGCAAGACTAATAGTGGTGACTCTTAGGTTAATGGCCTGTACACATACCCGGATGCAGAAATAACTAAGAGGGGGAACAGAGAACTGCATTTTAACAAGAGTTAAAAATTCAGTTTGGGATACGTTGAGTTGGCTATAGGATTTTCAAGTCAAAATGCCTGATGGCCAGTTAGCCATATGATCATAACAAAAAATACAGAAGTGAATGATACAAGAGACAGGATATGCATGCTCTGAAATATTAATACATAATGAACAAGAGAGAAGAAGAACTCCATGAAAGAGGCTGAGAAGGAGTAGCCAAGAGGAAGTTTGAAAATCCCATAGGGCAGCGGTGTTTAGCTTCATCGTTAAGACTCCCAAGCCACATCAGAGCACCTGGGTTCCTGTCCTGGCTCTGGCTCCTGTCTCAGGCCTTCTGCCAGTGCAGCCCCTGGGGGTGGTGGTGATGACTCAGGGAGTTGGTCCCTATCCCTACCACTCACGTGGGAGACCTGGATTGGGTTCTTGGCTCCCAACAGCTTAAGCCCCACCCAGCCCTGGCCAATGTGGACATTTGGGAAGTAAACCAGCTGATGGGAGTATATTCTGTCTCTCTCTCAAATACTTTTAAAAAGTTCATGGAAAATGGAATTAAAAGATAAATTTATTTTGGTGCAAAAATTTTGAACTTTATGCCATGGTTTTTAAAAAGTTCCTGGAAATTGTTGATTACAGGGATTTCAAAAATTCTCTGCACCAAGACAAACATCTTTCAATTCCATTTTGCAGTCCTCTGGTAAGAGTTACCAAGTTTGACCTCATGCGTGCCTGCTTTTCGACTGGAGTTGATTTTATATATACCTTATTTGTGGAGAAATCTAACTAAGGTATACGTAAAATACACATTAGTGGATCATCACTGTACACAGGGATCAGGGACATGTTAACATCATTTTTCATTTGTCTGTTTACCCTGTATACTTATACTAAGTATAAATTCAGAGTGATTTTAATGCCCCCAAGAGTGTAACTTACTGAAGAGCTATCCGTCCCATTCACTGCCTAGTGTCTGTAAAATAAGAAGTTGGTCAGCACACTCTGGTTTTTAACATAATTTATCCAACCAATGCAAACTGTAGAACTCACGGTCTTCACTCCAGGTCAAATAGTACTTTATGCAAAGAGCAGTTATTACATCAGGGTTTCCAATTTTCTTTTTTTTTTTTTTTTCTGTTATCTGCAGCTTGTAACATGTGACCCACCTCCTTTTTTTTTTTTTTTTTTTT